CCCCCCCCCCCCCCCCCCCCCCCCCCGATGAAAACATTAAATGTACTCCTTGTTCTTGCTTGCTTTGTGTGTACACGTATTATGGTTGTTTTACAGTATAGAAACCTGCTGCTACTGTGTGGTGGAATATCAAAGCCTGTGGTTCACTGTAGGTCACTGATTTACTCCTTGTTACACTGTTCACTGTATGTATGCAGCTCTGTTTGTGAACTCGACGCCATCGCCACAGTCCTTTGACCTTTTCTGTGCATGGTGTAACAATGACTGGAATTGAGTGGAGTGCTGCGTTCAATGACGCTCACCTCAGGGTTTGAAGAGCCACTATTAAGCAGGACTACGTAAACTAAAGTTATCCTGTTGAAGCCACTATTAACAAGTACAGGAAACTCAATAGGACGTCTCAGCAATAACTTGATTTTCTGAAAGGCTAGAATTTTCACATTAACCTTTGTTCACAATTCAGTGTCTTGTAAAAAAAAACCTCATGAGCTTGACATTTTTTTATTTTTAAGTCATGTAATATCATTCCATGTTACTGGATCCTGTACATTTCAAGGTTTGCCTGTGAACCAGAGATGTCTTTTAGAAGAATGGACTTTGTAAAAGGCTTGAGCCGATGCATTTTCACCCAGTCCTCACTGACTTGCAGTCCCCCCCCCCCCCATGTTAAGGAACAAACCCCATTGTATCATTAAAAGTGCTGTACTTAAATCAAAGCCTGCTCTCTTGCTTCATCCCTTTAACTTCTCCTTGCAAGTCAAACTCTTAAGAGTAGGGTGCATTTTTAAAGCGGCTTATACAAGTCAGTCTAGATAAAAGCCGTAGATATTGAAGAAGCATTCTGAGTGTCATACAATTTTAAGGTACTTTAGGCATCAATTGCCATCTTTGAGCTAAACCAAGTTTAAGTGGCTTCGCATTTCACCACGTGGAAAGCTTACTCTAGTTTTAATAAATAAACACACACCTTGCAGTGTTAGTTTAAGAACATTCAAGACAAAGTTTAGATAAAGTTCAAATAATTCTTTATTTGTTATCTCAACAAATTACAACCAAAGTTTACCATCCAGTTCTACTGAGTCTTTGGATTTATCAACACAGGAAAAATCACTTAAACATAAATATTGTGTCACAACACAAAAATAGCATTTCACCAAACAACTATTCACAATGCAGCCATACCAGGATTTACTGGTAAAAAAAAAAACGAAGCCATTTACACACTGGACTTCTTTTGGGCATGTTTTGACCCTTGGTCCTTCTGCACAGACTTGATGATGCCTACAGCGACTGTCTGCTTCAGGTCTCTTGCTGCGAACCGCCCTGAGGAGCACAAAAAAAGTTAACCGTTAAACACGGCACAAGTCAGATTTCTTGTACTTGAAGATATTAGACTTGGATGGATGGAGGTTGTACCTAAGGGAGGATACGTGAAGAAGCTCTCCACACACATGGGCTTGATGGGAACCAGTGTGACCGTAGCAGCGTCTCCAGACATCAGGGCCTGCGGACGGTCCTCCAGTTTGTTACCGGTGCGCCGGTCGATCTTCTCCTTCAGCTCAGTGAAGCGACAGGTCACATGGGCGGTGTGGCAGTCCAGGACAGGAGAGTAGCCGGCTTTGACCTTCCCTGGATGGTTCAGGATTATCACCTAAAGACAAAAAAAAAAAAAAAAAAAAAAAAGCAAAATCCCATCAGCACAGAGGGAAAGCTACACATTTCAGGTTAAATTTTCACTCAATTGAACCAACCTGAGCTTCAAAGCTGATGACGTCTGATGGAGGGTCCTGCTGGGCGTTGCCGGCTACATCCCCACGCCGCAGGTTCTTCACGGCCACGTTCTTAATGTTGAAGCCAACATTGTGTCCTGGCAGAGCCGTCTCCAGCCCCTGGTGGTGCATCTCGATGGACTTCACCTCAGCAGTGATCTTGGCCGGGGAGAACATCAGGGTCATGCCGGGTTTGAGGACACCACATTCAATCTTACCCACTGGCACGGTCCCTACTCCTGAAAGGACAAAGAAGAACGTTTTCAAGTCAACCCTTTAAAATAAAAATTTAAAAGTAATTTTATCAGTGGACAAATGTTGCTTTCCTTCCCCCACTCTAATCCCTCTGCTGCACCTGTACCTAGGGCCATTTAAAAATGATTAAACGGAACCTTGAGCAGGATTTCTAACCTCCAATCTTGTAGACATCCTGCAGAGGTAATCTTAGGGGCTTGCTGGTGGTGCGCACTGGTGGCTGAATGGAGTCCAGGACTTCTAGTAGAGTTCTCCCACTTGCGTTCCCTTCTCTTCGTCTGGATTTCCAGCCTTGGAACCAGGGCATCTGTAGAGAAAGACATTATTTTAGTTCAAAAGGTTTGCATGTACTCAGATATTTTTTAACTTAACCCATCTTTACCCTCTGAGTTGCAGTGATCATGTTCTCTCCAGTCCAGCCAGATATTGGAACGAAGGGCACAGTCGTGGCCTCGTAGCCGATCTTCTTGAGGAAGCCGTTCACACCTCGAACCACCTCGTCAAAGCGTTTCTGGCTGTAAGGGGGTTCAGTCAGATCCATCTTGTTCACACAGACTATGATCTGCTTGACCCCCAGAGTGTAAGCCAGCAAGGCATGCTCTCTGGTCTGACCGCTCCTTGACACACCAGCCTCATACTCTCCTTTAGCTGCAGAGACCACCAGGAGGGCAACATCAGCCTGAAAGGACAATGATGTAGGTGAAAATAAAACACATATTGAAGGATACATAAAGTGCTGAAATTCTACGCTGCTTACCTGCGACGTCCCGGTTATCATGTTTTTGATGAAGTCCCGGTGGCCAGGAGCATCAATGATGGTCATCGTGTATTTTTGAGTGTTAAATTTCAGCAGAGATATATCAATGGTGATTCCTCGCTCACGCTCAGCTTTCAGTTTGTCCAACACCCAGGCAAACTTGAAGGAACTCTTCCCCATCTGTGAAAGAATGTAAAACAAGTCTCACAACAGGTGTTGAAACATTTTGTGTAGCATTTTTACAGCAGGGTGTTTCCCCCTCTTCCTCACCTGTGCTGCAGCCTTCTCAAACTTCTCCAGTTTTCTCTGATCGATGCCACCACATTTGTAGACGAGGTGGCCGGTGGTGGTCGACTTGCCGCTGTCGACGTGACCGATAACCACCATGTTAATGTGAGTCTTCTCCTTCACCATGGCTGAATCCAAGTTTGCCGAACAAACAAAGTAACTGCAGTTTTCTGAGATGAACTAAATGCTTTCAACTTCTTCTGTTTAATGATTCTGGCCAGTGCCAGTGGCTTTATATGCTCCACGTGGCCACACAGACACTGATTGAAGGCAGGTGTGCTGCTTAATTAAGCTTAATTAGTGGAGTGGCCGATGCCTGTTTGGTAAAAACTGAATATTTGACACTGTTAAATATTAAAGTAACCTGAACACCAAAGTATTTAAATGCTGTAAAATAATTCCTCACAGATGTTATGTTTTTTGAACAGCAGCGAGAATGATATAAATTTAATCTTTAATCAATGTGCAGCAACAGGCAGTTACAGTCAGTTGATCCAACACACCTGGTTGTTAGATGAGATCATTATGATCTCAAATTACAACCAGGTGTGTCATTCAGTCTTTGAAGTAACGTCTCCGTAGAGAAATCCTGCCTGGCCACACAGCATGAAGGGAAAAGAAATATATAGATATTAAATATGTAGAGGTGACTATAAAATAGGAAGACAAGGAGCTAAATATAGATCCCACCTTCACCCATTGTGCTAAACAGTCAAAAACCTACAGTTTAGGAGAAGATGCCTTCTAAAAAATGTCTTACTTCATCTTCTTACAACAAATTACACACATGTAAATAAAATCCTTCTTTGAGGGAACAATTGTGGGTGAGTTCATAGTGAGATGGCAATAAAATGTACCAATGTTCACTAACTGTAAACTGGTGTATTTCTTTATTTGCTAAGGCCTATTTTCTCAAATGAAATATCTTTTTCCGCATTCAAGGCTTTTGAAAACTTCAGTTCCACTCATCCAGTGGTTTGAAGTGACTCACTCTGGGGTCAACGTGGAGGGTCAGATGCCACATTAGCGCCCCCTACAGCCTCTTTAAGGTTTACATGAGCTTTCTGCTCAAGGACACTTCGGTAGAGGGAATACACGTTGGACATACAACCTGTTATTATACTTAAAAGGCTTCAAGCGGTTAAAAGTCCTAATCAAAGCCGCTGTGAGAGATTTTTTACTAGGATATCTCAGTTGTAATCTGATGGAAGCAGACGTTGAATCATATCAACGGGTCACCTCTGAGCGGGCGGGTCTATCTTCAGTTAGAGTATGAAGGTGAACAACGCCCACCGCCGCGCTCAGAGGTGGAGCAAAACGAGCCCCCCTCTCGTTTGACGGCCACAGTGACGCTCAGTAACTAACCCGGAAACAGCGACCAGCAAATCGCTTTTCTTCTTCTTCTTTCAGTCCCGTACCGCTGGCTTTCTAGCGTGGTATCCAGACGTCGACTCCAGTGTTTTCTCCACGAGCATCAAGGTAAAAACAGAGGAAATATACTACAAAATACCACTTTATGTCGCATTTTCTCTGTCTTCTCAACTAACCACCTTTGCTGCCCACCGGTTGCCATTCAGTCTGGCTTGTTTTGAGTGTTACATTAAAATTAGTTATGAATCATAAAACGTGTCCGGCGGAAATCCGACCCACGCATTGCAAAGTTACTATAAAATAGAAATACAATGGTAGAGAATGTGTGTTTTGTGTTTTTAAGTTTCATCCCCGATGCTCCGTTAACTTCCCCTTTTCAGAACAAGGTCTGAAGGTGGACGTTAGGCTGCACCGATAGGTTTTCCCTTTATTTGACCAGAGACGGCGGCTG